TCGAACTAAACTGAATCGAAAACTACAAATTTGAATCACTTTTTAATTTTTTTTATTTTGTTCTCACCCTATTTTTAAAAAATAATATAAATAAATTTATATTTAAATCTCAATATCTATAATTTTTTTCTCACAACATTTTTATACGAAAAATATATATTTGATATGATACATTCACTTTGAAAAAAATTAAATTATATATAAACAAAATAACTAAAAATTTGTTTGATATTACGATTGAAACTGTATTAAATCTTAAGTTTCAAATTTAATTACACTCAATTATATAAACCAACAAAAAAAAATTATAATAAAAAGCTTGACCGTATGACCCAAATTGTATTATTGACAAAACAAACATTAGCTTAACTAGCAGCTAAAAATCACAAAATGGAATGTTTATGCTGCACATATTTAGCTTGTTAGTAAAAACTTAACATGATTTTTCCACTTGACTTTTAGTTGCAGAGAATCAAAATCCGGAATTTGGTTGGGCAGTAGGGCCAAGCAACAGAGAAATGAGTGAGGAAACAGAAAAGGTGAGAATATCTAGTACGGCACGGAGTGGTCAATAATGGTGCAGTGGACATTGAACGGTCCTGATCAAATCTAAATTGCTTCAGACAAAACAACAAAAAAGAGAAGAAGAAGAAGAGGAAGAAACAGTTTGAGATGAAGAGGATGTTGGAATCTTTTGACATATCCAAACGACAAGCTGGTTGTTGGTCTAAAAATTAAAAAATTTTACTTAAAAAGATAAAATTGGTTTTTAAATAACAATAAAAGTAGTAAATTAAAGAAATAATAATAAAAGTGGTCTTTAAATAATAAGGCCTAAAATAGTAAAAAAAAATCCTGAATTTTATTATTTTATTTAAATAAATTTTTATATTTTTATTACATGTAAATAAACTATTAATTTTTAATTTGCATTCAAATAAGCTATCATTCTTTAATTTGTTCAAATAAATTTTTAATCTTTGTTTGTACATAAATAAATATTTAATATAAATTAAATTTTTATTTAAGATAAAGGTTTATATGAATACAAGTAAAATAATAAGAGTTTAATTAAATATAATAAAAATGTGACAATTTATTTAAATAAAGTTAAATAGTACAAAAAATTTGTAATATTTTAATCAATAATAATGTAGTTTAACTAAAGTGTTTTTTAAAAGTATAAAAAAAGTGGTTTATAAAATATTTTTGTTTTTTATATATTTTTATAATAGATTTATTTTAATTATCAAAATAAAAAAAATTGAATTATATATATATATATAACGCAGCCGCTGCATTGGCACCGTTACATCAACCCCTAAATTACATTCAACAGGCGAATGGAAATTACGAATTGTACCATTCAAAGTTTCTTTTTTCCCCAATGAACACTTTTACTTGTACGAGACAAAGATGGTTGAAAAATTTTCTCATTTTATGGCCCCGACCTTGGAAGTGTTCCTTGTAGAGCTAGCATTAAAACATGAAAAAAAAAACCCACACAAAATGGTAAAAAAAAAAAAGTTTTTTGGTACGACAAATCTGAAATAAATAAATAATTTAATTTTTTAAATCAAAATATGATAAATTAATAATATAAAAAAATAATTATAAATTATACATTCCAAATAATTTTAATAAAAAATTATTAATTAAATTCAAATTCAAAGTTTTTATGATCAAGATAAATGATTATTATCAAACGATCTGGACAAAATGGTAAAAAAAAAACATAATAACTAAGATAAGTAAAACCCCAAAATTTCAGCTTTGGAATCAACATGTAGCTCGTGAACTAGATTTAGATATAGTTTTGTGGCATGGTGAAAAAAATTTTCATATAAAATGTCGTTTTGACGTTGAATCCATATCTCTTCTCACTTGGGTGGCACGATAAAAAAGATTTCCGCAATTTTAGAATGTTGCTTTGGCACTATCAAACGGAAATTTATTGAGATAAGGTAAAGTTCTGGGAGATGATTAATTCATTTCAAATTGCATTTCCTTTTGGGGTGCGGAGTGAGTTTGACCACCCTTCTAGGGAGTGGCGCCCAATGGGTTTAGCTTTGTTAGCACGAGCTTGACTTCGAAGTTTGGGCAAAGCCCGCTACGCCTAATCCCTTGAGTCCTTGACTGGCTACAAGTGGAGCTATACCCTTGCAGCGGCTGGCATCTCTTTTTGTGTTCTAGCTCGGCTCAATAATTATTAACCATGTTTTTAAAGAAGTAAATTAGACTCATAAACAATTGAAAGTGCAGGCGATACCTTTAATCAGATACGATAATTTTAAAATACGATCTAGTAATATAATATAAAAATAACATAAATAAAAGATATAAAATTAATATAATTTAAAATTTTAATAAAAATTATAAATAAAATTAAAAAATTAAACATATATATTTTATAAATTTTTATATAAAATATAATATAAATATATAAATTATTAATATTTTATATGATACGAACATTCAAATTATCTATCAGATTTACTATTAACCAAACAAATTCAACATGTTAAACAATACAATGGAGATTCCAATTAAGTCGAAGCTCCAGCAATTGCAGTCTTGCAGATAAACACATGGTGTGATATGCCGAGAATCGCGGAGATTCTCGGCTGTCGCCAGCCAATTAAGAAAATTCAGGTTATATCTCTTAATTTTTCAACATCCAAGATCGTGTCTTGTTTTCATAAGTTCATGCTTTGTCTGATGATCTGGCTAGCTGGCTTTGATTTATATGCCTCCATTGCTGACACAGAATTGTTCTTGAGGAATCTGTTGGATTAAGCACTAAATTTATTAATTTATTAATATTCGATATTATTAAAATTTGAACTTTTAAGTATTGAACTAAAAATACAATACTCGGCCAATTATATCATATGATAGTTGGCCAATTTATTATTAACTTAAAATTTTTAAAATTTAACTAAAATAATTATAAAATGAAGTTGTTTATCGAATGTTCGATTAGCATTATTTTATTGTGAATTATCTATCGACATATACCTTAAACTCTGAATTTAAGAGAAGAATGAATAAGTATCCATGAAATTGAATGTGGATTTTTTTTTCATGGCAATGTTGGAGCCTAGCATTGAAAGAAGATATAAAGTAAAGATGACAACTGTTTGAATTGAATTGAATTTGGTTCGATTATTTTTTTATAATATATAATATTATAAATTTAAAAAATTTTTATTTGAATTTAAATTTATATTCTCTTAAAATTGATTAGATTTGAAACAAATTCTCGAATATGTTTAAATTATTAATTATTAATTTTTAAATTTATTATTTATTATTATTTTAATATAATTTTTAATATATTTAAAAAAATTATATATAAAATAATTACTTTTTATTTTATAAAAATTTAAAATATGTATTAAAACAAATAAAAATATATAACTCGATTTGATTTTTTTTTTATTTTTATATCTTAATATGAAATTCGATCAAAATTTAATATATATTTAATATTTAAATTTGATCCAAACTCAATAAAACAATTGTTTTGAATTGAACTAAACTAAAAACTATAATTTTAAATAAATTTTTATTTTTTTTTTAATTTCCCCAATTTAATGTGAAGTCTATTTAGAGATTTTGATAGTAATAAATGATGGAATAAAAATTTGAAGGCAAAAGAGAAAAAGTACGAAGTCAATAAATCTACTTAAATTCGCATACCGTAAAAAGATTTGGCATTAAATTCGCTGTTCAAGTCCTATTTATAATTCATTGAAATATTCAATATAAAAACAATAATTTACTATCCATTCAAATGAATCACTGCACCAGTACCATCAAAGCATCAATGTCAAAGAAAAAATAAAAATTTCTGAACCTGTTGAATGTTGATGTTTTACAAATGAATCATATGCTATGGGCAGGATCATTTGGCACTGTTTAATATTTTTTAATAAAATAAACACTCATGATGTAAAGAGGAAAAATGAAATAAATTATTTATTTATTTATTTAAATTTAAAAATAAATTAAATGAAATTTCTGAAAGGAAATAAATGTAAAGAAATTTGGGTTATATTAAATAGTAAAAGGAGAGAGAGAGCGGAAAGAAAAAACCTGAAGGGAGAAAAGGGGTATTTGCGGCAAATAGGCGATGCTTACTTTTGCATGTGAGTATGGATTTTTTATCAAGCGTTGAGCCAAAAACCGCTCTGCCCCACTTAGATTTTAGGGCAATTTCCATTTGGAAAGCTACAAACCACGCGGTTAGCCACAAAAGCTGCCTTTCTAAGCACCCATGTGCCTTTGTTTTCCATTTTTTTTTTAATGTGCTTTTGTTTTTGTTTTTTTTTTTTTGAAAATTTGTAAAAAAAGTTTCAAATTTATTAATACATATATTCATATAAGTTAAAAGGAATGAATTTATGAATTAAGTCATATTTCTTGTTGGTATCTATACTAAATCTATTCAATAGCTAAGTTATTCATTCAAACTCAAAAATTCATCTAAATTTTAAAATAATTTGGATAAAAAATTATAATTCATTAAACATATATGAATAAATTTTTAAATTTGTTTAAAATTCAAATCGAATCTTAAATAAAAAAATTAAAACCTAAACCTAACCCAAGTTAATCCAAATAAATGATATATAATTAAAATATTATAACTGTATAAATATATATGTTAATTTTTATATTTTAAATTTTATTATATAAATTAAATTTAATAAATAAATTTAAAATTATTTTTTTAATTTAAACTAAGCTTAAATTTAAAACTTAAAATATTAAATTAAATTAAATTCAAATAAATATATAAATTATTAATATCAAATATAAACTATCCGAATAGTTTTCACAATTGGAGTTTGGTCCCAACAGCTCAAAAGTGGAAGTTAGTTTTAGTTAGAAATTGTAACGGTGGCCTAATAGGCTCCAGCCACCCAACCAACGTGCCCAAACATTCTATAAATTCCCCCCTCACCTTCCCCTTTTTCTTCACTCAAGTGCCTCACATTTTGTTACAGCTCATATTTTCACTTCTAATCCGTCATGTAATCTTCTTATCCTTCTCACACTTCATTTTGACTATTCTTATGGTTTAATAAAGCAAAACAAAGAAAAAAGAAAGAGGTTACCATTTTCTGCTCTATGTTTTATACTTCCAGGTTTCAACCAGGTGCTTAACAGTTCAGTTGCTTGTGTGCAGGAAAATGGCTTTTGCTGGGGTTTTCTGGTTTGGTTTTCTAGCAATGGTCTCGGCTGTTCATGGATATGGTGGTGGTGGTTGGATTAATGCTCATGCTACCTTCTATGGTGGGAGCGATGCCTCAGGAACAATGGGTATGCACCAAATGAAGCAACTTTTTTGTACAATAGCAGTTAAATAGGAACCTCCATTTGACTAATTCTTAAGTTTGTTTTCAGGTGGAGCTTGTGGTTATGGGAACCTGTATAGCCAGGGTTATGGAACAAATACTGCAGCTTTGAGCACAGCTCTGTTTAACAATGGGCTGAGCTGTGGGTCTTGCTATGAGATTAAGTGCATGAATGATGGCAAGTGGTGCCTGCCTGGCTCCATTGTGGTCACAGCCACCAATTTCTGCCCTCCAAACAATGCTCTTCCTAACAATGCAGGAGGCTGGTGCAACCCTCCCCTGCATCATTTTGACCTTTCTCAGCCTGTCTTCCAACACATTGCTCAATACAGAGCTGGAATTGTGCCTGTTGCTTACAGAAGGTATGTTTAGTGGTATTCTGATATTCTGAGACTTAAGGTACGGTCAATTTTGAAGTCATTTTCTCACTATTTGCTTTCTAAAGAGAGGGTTTTTTAGATCTCTAACCAGTCTCTCAGTGAGCAATATTCTCAGCAATTTCAAATTTAACTGCGGTGAAAAAAGCAAGCCCTGCTCCCCAGATCTAGTGGTCCAATGCTTTGTTCACCTCTTAAACTTCATTTGAACCTTTTTTTAGCTCCTATTATCCTCTAAAGGAACTTATTTGGCGAGAGGCGATTATGCCTCGAACCTGGGCAACCCTCCAACCGCCGAATGCCTCTTGTGGCTGAGCCAAAGACTAGTTGGATCATTCGAACTTTTAAGGCAGTAAAAAGTTTAATTCATGAACTTTTAAGGCAATAAAGGGATTAGGGTTAGTTTCTGTTTTGCAGTACAAAAAAACTACCCTTTTACCATTCCTCAGGGTAAGTGCATTGTTTTGTCTTTAACAGGTATTAACTGTATGGTAACATCACTTACCTTTGGTGGTGGGTTTTGGTTTTTGTAGGGTACCATGCAGGAGAAAGGGAGGCATCAGGTTCACAATTAATGGCCACTCCTACTTCAACCTAGTCCTCATCACCAACGTTGGCGGTGCTGGTGATGTACATGCCGTGGCCATCAAGGGCTCCAGGACTGGTTGGCAGCCGATGTCTAGGAACTGGGGCCAGAACTGGCAAAGCGACAACTATCTCAACGGGCAAAGCCTCTCATTTAAGGTCACAACAAGCGATGGCCGTACCGTGGTCTCCTACAATGTTGCTCCAGCTGGCTGGTCCTTCGGGCAGACCTTCACTGGCGGCCAATTCCGCTAGAGGAACACTTTATTTTCCTCCCATCTTTAGGCCTTTTAATTAAATACCAAGTATATACCAAGCATCCAAAATATCAGTAGTATTAACTAGCTTGACTTTTAGTACATCTAGCTAGTGGATTATTCCATATGGGGACCAATACTGGGCCTCTTGGGTCAAAAATGAGAAAGGGCTTTTTTAAAAATAGCCCTTTATCATTTTGGGTTTAGTTCTGCTATGGCGTAGGGTGACCTATTTAAGCGATATTTTTTTTTCCTTCTGTCGTTGTAGATCAGGAGATGGAAGGGGTGGACTTTTACCACCCGCCATTACTAATAGTTTGATCCTTTTTTTCCTCCTTTGGGATGTTGAGAAGCATTATTTTGGCTTGTGAGTTCATTTTGATCAGCTTTCGGCTGACAATATGTACTTGGCTTTTATTTGTATGAAAGTAAATTGTATATTTACAAATTTCCATGTTCATTTCTATTCTTCAGAGCTGATAATAAATACCAAATCATCCCACAATCTTCAGTCAAAATGATTAACCCAATCACTCCCAAAGCAAAAAGTATGACATTTTTGCAAATAAATTCCTTGATTCATAACACACTTTATGGAATTCCACCCAATAAGTATGTAAAATTCAATGTAAATATCAAAGCTTTGATATAGAAATCTAACTGAAATTTGGGTGTCATGTCAAAAAGAGAACTAGTTAAAATTTTGTCTCGTATACTGTCCGGTTAAATTCTTATATTTTCTTGGCATTTTCTAGGGAAAGTGACTTGCATTAAATCCTCACATGGAAATCTATGTTTCAAGCCGCAAAGCCACCGAGCCTCGTGTGGTGTGCATCACACCCCGTTACCCATTATCTAGTTCCAAGCCAACTGAACAAGATCACAAGAAAAACAGAAAAAAAATTTCATTCTTTAATTTTGTGTGAAAATTGTTATTGAAAAACATGAAAAGAAAAAAAGAAAAGATCATAATACAGATTGCTGGTGATCGATGGGTCAACACCTTCTTATCTTTCTCTCTCTGGTGCATACTGTGAGGCTGACCTGACACATCTCGACCCACGCGAAAACTTATCGACGATTTCTCGGTCTCCACGACAACTTGCTACGTGGCCCCCAGACCCAGACCTTATCTACTGTTCAGTTTCGTGTCTTGCTTTTTTTCTTGTCTTTCCGTTTTATCGGACATCGATTATTAACGGATACGATATTTTTTTTCTTCTGACAACTAAATTCAGGGGCACGAATCTTCGAACAGTTGCCCACGTGAGTCACCGCATTATACGCTTTAGTATGTGGAATCTTTTTATAAATTTTCAATTTTTTTTAGGATTTCAAAATATGTTTTGCAACCAGAAGAGAGGACTTGGGCTGCTCTGAAATCCACATTGAACCTTAGAACCAGGCTCTTCTTTAAGCCCAAATAATTGATACACTGCCTTTTCCACCCTTTTCATGATTCATCAAAAGTTTAATTGTTTACCTGTGCCCCAAAGCATGGCTTCTGGATATCATTTTTCATTCAAAAAGTCACCACCATGTCAAAATCTAGCTGAGCTGAGACGTTTCTTTGGCCAAATGTCTAATATTGTCAACTGGTAGTTAGCATGTCAAGGTTTTTCTTGTCCAGTGAACATCAAGGAGAGGGACTTTTCAGAGATGAGACAATGCCTTCCTCAGCATGTGCCATGAATCCTGTCTGGGATTGTAGAAGATTTCATAAATAAGAAGAGAATCCAAGTGTTTTAAATTAGTGTGATCCAGCTTGGCTTGGTGGGGTAAAGGGTATGATGTCCCAATCTCCACGACTGTAGGCAAACTAATGAGCTTTATTTTTTACAATCAATGTCTTTTGCTACGTGTGTTTTATTTACAGCTTAAAGTTGACAGGAGGAAGGGAAGGCAATGGCCGCCATTAGTAACCCTAGTAAACAAAAGTTGAAGGCAAAAATAAGTAAAAGAAAACCTTATGATCAGTATACAGAAAGTATAACCCAAACATGGTGCCTCATTTAATGGGAGTCAGCACCACTCGATTCTGCGGTTTATCAGTATGAAGGCAATTCCTATGTTGTGTAGTCGTGCTATACATCTCAATGGCCGATTCCGAGTTTCCCTTGGCAGTGAAAACCATTGTAAAATATCTAGTCAATTTCCGAGGATTGGGTAAATTTCACATGCACATTACCAAGTTCTCCATAGCCTCTTTGGTTGATGAGGATGAATGGTAGCATCATTCTTCTGCAATATCTCAGTTTAGTTGCTGCAACAGACAATAAATACATGTATAAGAAACAAGGAAGAAAATATTCTGAGGACCATAAAATTTTTCTATCTTTCAACATTCAAATTGATGTAGGTTAGAAGTAAAGAAGCAGAAAGGGAAAAAAAAAAAAAAGATCACAAAATGAGCTATAAATTTGTAGTGGACAAATACCAGTAAACTTATCTAATGAGAGGTTATCATGCAAAAAATTAAGAACTTCTAACAAGAAAAAAAAATCCTCTGCCTCTTTCACTTATTCGCATATATGTGCATGCACACGGCGTGATGTATAAACCAATGGATTGCTCAACCACGTTGAAGCTGCAGATAAAATAGTAGGTGACACATGCAACGCAGCTTAAGAATCGAAAGCATAGTGGGAGTAATAGGGAAAGACTTACTCGGGAATACAATGGCTCATCAAATATGGTGACAGCACAAGGACTAGAAGTGGAAGCCCAACAACCTTGGGTAGTGTCATATCCAGCTCTAAGACCCTCTAGAACTCCATTGACATGATAATCTGCAGGAGTTTCCTGGAAGTTCATTACTTCAACAGGTGGGAATTTGGCATCATTCAGTATGTTAAGATCGTATGAGAAGGGGCATTGTCCGCCCGGTTGAAGCTGCAATGATGCATTTCCATTCAAATTGTTAAGGAGGCCATTTTCTTGTCCAGAACTAGATAATTCGGAACTTTTAGCAGTGCCAAAGTAACCCGAATAACTTCCAAAGGAGGAACTTGCAGAGCACTCCACATCCCTGGAAATTGCAAAACAGCATCATAATACATTGTGGAAGGCCCTTTTATACGTGTAACAATAAATATATACTATTACTAACTTACCATGCATTTTGTGTGCTCCATTATATACTAACATATGCATGTCATGTTTTACAAAAGATTTATTTAAAACACACGTTCCATCCAAAATTAGGGATTTTTTTCTTTGTCATTTTCTTTGAGAAGCAAGATTATCATCAGTGAAACATGAGTAGAATTAAGATTTCTAGAAAGTCCACTGACCTGCGGGGAATCAAGTTTGGGTCCTCTGATAAGGCCACGTGTCTACTGTCATTGTTGGGCATCCAATCAAGAGATTGCAGCTGTTGCTCAATGCCCATTCTAAAGGGTACATGCATTTCATTTTGGAACTGCAAGAAATTGCCGGTTAAGATACTATTTGCTCATGACTTTAAGGAGTAAACAAAGCAGGAAAATATTCCAAGCCCATCACACATTCTTACCTGACTTGTGCATTCTAACGATAAAAGCTGCTGCTTTCCTAAATTTTCCTGCCAAAAGAAGGCAGATAATGAAGAGTCTTAGTGTCAAAACATATTTTACCCTTATTATTTGAGCTTTTAGAGAGAAGATTAAAAGGTCATCTAGTTTTCAGTCTGCACAGTGCTCTGAAATTTCAGCATTCCAGCAAATGGCTATTCTTTTCTTTTTTTCGCTTGGTTAACTAAGCAAACTCCAGCACATGCCCCATGGCAGTGGGCACTCTATCACTTGCTATAAAAGATCAAACTACTTAGGGAAATGATAGGTATACCTTATGGGCTCGAATTTGATTTAGATATTCCTTGAGTGAATCTTCCATTTGCCCCAAATGTTCTACATTGTTGATCTTGTCGATGTTAGTCCAACAGCTGAGTAGCCAATATTAATGTTAGTACAAGACCAAAGCTAGCATATTAATAACAAAGACACAAAACTAAAACTCTACATTAAAAAATTTGTAGGTCTTCACCTCAGTCTCCTGTGCATTTCAGAAAGCCGAGCCTGCAATAACCTCGCTTGGTTAGTCAGGTCCTGCCCATAGCAATTATAGAGATACAAAATGCATGTTAGAATGATGAACAGCCAGGTCTAAGAATTTTAAAATATCACAATACATTAAGGTCACAAATCATCATGCAAACATACCTCGATTGTTTGTGTACTGGGGAAAAAGAAAGAAAAAAAGAAAAAAAACAGAAAAAGTCATAACACTATTATAAATACTTTTTAGAACATAATTAAATGAATAAATAATTCTAGGACGCGTTAAGCTGACAAGAAGAAGAATGTCACATACCTTGTACCCAGAAATTCATGAATATTTACATCATGGTCCAACTTCTTGAATGTTTTTTTCAGTGCCTAGACTCTCAAAGAGAAAACAAATTATGTAACTGATAAGGGTGATGACATTTCAGACACCAAAAAACATTTGATAAATGAAAACAAAGATAGTAACGTCACTAGAGGAGAATGGATTGTAGGAAAGGACATACTTCAAGGCTTTCCAACTTCCTGTTCCAGTAAATAGGAACGAAAATGTGAGTCAATTCAGCTTCAATAAGTATAACATTAAACTCTTAAGTATGAAGATCAGTAATGTGATTTTTCTACTCAGAAAATTTGACAGTACCTTTTAACCCGTTCCTGTGGAGTGAGTTGAGCAAACTTTTCAATAATCTCCTCAATGCTGCTGAATTCAAACAGCAGAATGAAAAAGAATGAATGTCGCTACTGTAGATAATAGCATCATACATAAATCTAACCTACCAAAACTGATTTGGATATATATATATATATATATATATATGAAAACTGAACAAAACTAAGTAGTGTGCAAGCAAATCTTAAGCAATCTCTCAGGTTCCTCCACATCAGTACTATGTATGGATCTAAATCGCCTATTGCAGACATCTAAGCATGTCTTGCAACTATCATGTGTATCACAAAGCCAAACTAATTTACAGCAATTGGTTGATTTTCCGCATATGAACACTTCTCATGAACCAAATCCCTGACTACTGCTCCAAAATGTAGCATCCAAATCCCTTCTTTCAAATTTAAGTTCCCAAATGCAACCTAAGAAAAAGGTAAAACCTGCCCACCCCATTCAAATATGGCATTTGTTAAGATCAAATTATAGCAATTATCAATATTGCTTCTGTCAACAACCCTGGATATATATAATTTCTTCTATGTACAATGCCTGGGTAACCAAATTTATTAAGCTATCTAAAGTCTAGGTCAGAGAACTTGAAAACTGTTAATGTATCAACATATATCAATATCTTAGTTGATTTTCAAAATGTTCAACCATGGAATTAACTCGACAGATCTCTTTTCAAAAGGGAAAAACCTCTGACCTATTAGCTAATTTTTCCTGTAACAAGCACTCACATAGATATTTATTACCAATCAGTTTATTGCAGTGCTTTGTTAGAAATGACACAACTATTGCATGCAGCAAATCAGAGAATTTCTCTTTGGATATTGATGGAGCTTCCTCTAGATGCATTATTCTAACCCAATTTGATGCTTTATCAATCGTCTTTGAAGCTAAGTTTGAGCTGCCCCCTATAAATTCGCCAACAAAAATAAAACTACAATGCAAAAGGTAGAGTTATGAATGGCCTACCTGCCCTTCCCAATACATAGTGAAGGCTTGTTAGTAGGGGAGAACATAAGGAGGATAATTTCTACGTCACATAGGATAGATAGCTCATTAGCCTTTTTCATGATGCCATGCTTCCTTTTGGCATAGGTCGCCTGACGGCCATTTGTGTTCTCTAACTTCTTTATCTTTAGCTTAACCCTTCCCATCCTACAGATTCAAATACTCAGAATTGAATGTTGAAGGGCTACCAAAATACTACTAATTAAGATGCTTTTCACATTTCTTATCAATCCAATAGAACATTTATTGCCCCGAGGATGAAATAACCATGGAATATCCTTAAATTAATGAAATTGATGTGATAAGCACAATAAAAACACTTTCTTTGGCATAATTGGAAATCGGGATATCAAACAAAAATCTCTAGAAAACAATGCATCTTTAAAGAATCAAAGCCAGGGTGAAGTAAAGAAGAAAGATTCAGGTAAATATCAAGTCTTTTTCCCCCCCCTTTTTTTTTTCTGGGTTCATTTGCAAGAATCGAAGCCAGGGTGAAGTAAAGAAGAAAGAACAAAGTCAAGAAATAAAGCATACCCAAATGAGCAAAATTAAACGACGAGTTGAAAGTGCATGATCCAAACGTAAAGGAGGGGGGACAGGTTGATTATTCAGCCAAAGAAGAGAGAACCAAAGGGCACAAACAGAGAAAACAAGAAGAGAGAGAAAGATTGAAAGCGGAGTGTGAAATGATGAACATAGAAATAGGAATGCATTTACACGACCGGGTTAGCGGAAAACGCGGTCGTGGGAAACGAGCTTAAGAATAGGGGATCGTCAGCCAACCAACTAACTCTCCCCACCCGAAACCCAACCTTCCTTTGCGCCAGAAAAACTATCAAAATCAAAACCAAACCTTGGCGTTCAACTTCGCATTTGTTTGGACAAAACTACTGTCTTGTCCTTGTTATTGTACCTTGTTGCATGTCTAAAATATGGTTTCATGTGTCATTCGGAAGGGAAAAGCATTGATAAAATCAAAGATTGCTGCTTTTGAATAGTTATGATATTACAAAATATTTTTACTTTGATACAAGACAAATACTTATTTATGTGTACAAATTTTAAATTTTGATTAATCTTGTTACTGATTGTTTAATTTTAAATTGGAAGCACAATATTAAATCTTAATTACAAAATGAATTATTTTCCAATATATTATCTGTGAAAAGTTTTCAAATTCATTATTAAAAATTAAAATATATTTCAAATTAAAATTAAATAATAAAATATTTTTATAAAATGAAAAAATAAAAAAATAACAGCGGACCAAATTAGATAATTTTTTGATCCAAAATTCAATTTTTTAAAATCGATCCTGTAAAATTAGATTCGATCAAAATCTGACTGGTTCATGCATATCGGAACTTGAAAATCTCTAGATCAAGTTAAGGGAGGCCCATGGACTTGACAGGTCAACAGACCCGCAGTGAATAGGTTTGACAAAAGTACATGTTTTTCAATGCTTTAGCTTTGGGCCGAGAAAGTGGTGGGGAACGCGAACTGGCTATTGCGTGGGAGGCTGGGAGCTACGTGACTCTCTGTTGCAAAGCCTTCTCGTGCTCTCTCCTCGTGTTGTTTTTGTTGTTTCTTTTTGTAATTGGGCCAATCAACTGTGACGTGAATTTCTTTGTCCAGTTTCTGTTTTGAAATATTTCTGCCATTAATGTCTTGGCATCCAAGAAAACTTGTCGTCTCTCCTTGGCCGTGCATGAGCATTTCGTTCTGTTCTCTTTCTTGTGTCAGGAGAATCTTTGTATAGTGCAGCTCCCTACACAAACCACCATCACACTTCATACTGTCATGGGGGAAACAGAGCCGAAAAGACTGAAATGGTTATTGCCTCCACAGAGGGAACTGTCGATAATAATAACAAATATTCACACATTTAATCACTTTTCTCTTACCAAGATTGCAATGTGAATGTGGGAAATAGGAGTTAATGCTCACTGAGGACTAAACGGTTGAGTGCATATCTGATGTCTCAACCTCAAGGGTCCCAGGTGTCATTGGCGTTTGCATAAGGTAGGATAAAGGTGAATTATCCCCGGTATAGAACTTTTTTTTTACGAGGGATACCTCCATGTCTCAGAACAAAACTGTCCTCACTGATTTATGCTGAGATTTTCCATATGATGAGAGGGCAGCAGCTAGGAAAACATGAAAAAATTTCCACAGAAAATGATCGTTTAATTTTTGTTTTTGGGGGAGGGGGGGTGGGGGTACAAAGTAGGGTAGGTTCTGAATCCAGTTTTCTACAGCTAAAATTGGTATTCATTTCTCCAATGAAAACGATTAAGGAATTTAGCTACAGTGATCAATTATCATTAATTAAGGGTCACACCACCATGCACAACGCTGCCTAGGCGTGGGAGAGCAATTTTATTAGTTTTGACCCCACATTTCCCTCAAGAGCTAAGAGGAACATTGATTGACGCATATCCAACTGGTTTTTGTTTTGTCATTGTTATTGCTATTGCTTTGGTCCTAGTGTGATTCTGTGGATAACTTTGCTCTGTAGTATTCACCTAGATCAATTTATGACAATAACAATCATGAAAATAAGCTGGTCAAGGAAGAAGGAAATAACTGTTGGGAGTGAGGCTGCAAGACGATGAATATGTTCTTGAAACAAGCAAAAGGAGGCCTTTAGTGCTATTCAAAGCTTGCATTTCCTTTTGTCTTTTACTGATGATTCAAACATGTATACTTGTCATATCACTATGCAAGGTCTGAAAATTATACATGATAGCAATGGACACGACACACAAGCCTTTATTATGCGGTGTCAAAAGGACCGTGAACCGTTGGGCCTGCTTTGTTTGTTTGAAACAGCACGATAGGGGGTCTACGCACGTGGACAGGTACAATCACTTGTTCCTCTTTGCTCGGTGAAAGAGAATAGTCAATAGAGTTTAAACACTGTAGCAAAGAAGCTATGTAACTATTCAAAACTATCAACTACGGACAAATTCTCTATGTTAGTGAAGCTGTGTGGCTTTCCCAATCAATGAAGGAAAATCAGCCCCCTGTCCTTTCTCTTCCTCTCTCAGTCTCCCATATGCAAAGTGACCAAACTTCTTACAGCTCTATAAACACTGTACAAATTTCCCCAGCCCTGCCTGCCCCTAAATTCCTTGGCTTTTTCTTTACTATGCCTCTTGTTTTTCACTTGGTACTGACTACTATTCAAAGTCAGGTCTCCAAGGAAGAGGAGAGACTAAACAGTGAGAAACAGAGAAAGAAGGGTAGTGCCTGGTGGCTCTTTCTCACTTTCTGTCAAAAGATCTTCTTTTTGATGGGCTTAAGACCATCCATTTACGATAACCTGTTTACATCATGCAAATCATAAAAGAAAATTCAGGAAAAACAAACCTATATTTACTATATATACGTAGTATTAACTTTGACAATGAGTCGATGAGGTCATGTATCTTTTTAAAGCTCCCTTGGTTTTTGATCCTTCTGTTTCAGAATGTTTACTGACCAGTAAGGCTTAGGAGTCAGGACAGTCTAACTCTCTTCTCTCTACCCCTTTCCTATTATTATTATTATTATTATTATCATCTTTTTGTACTCCTTTATATCCCTCTCCTTGTTTTCGGATAATTCACAGAGTTCAGACTCTTTGAAACGCCATTAAAGGCACCACTCCTATGCCTGCTGACTTCAGCTTGTTATCTTCTTTATTGGTGTCTGGTTGAGTTAATGTGACTTTATTACTTGTACTACTACTACTATGTCAAATTATTACTACACTATCTCACCATATTTGATCACTGTTTATTTGTAGGCTTCATTTTAGGTTCTGCTGTCACATGTGCTAGAATCCTGCTACAACTTAAATGTAATTAGAAATAAAAAAAAAAAACTCAGGTCTTGTTTGGTCTCGGAAATTCACTGCAAGACTATCTTATATATGTAGTCTCATCATGAATATAGTAAGATTTGTGGTTACATTGAAAATTTTGCGTTTTCTTCTTTTTTTTCCTGTTTATGATATGGTGGCAAAATCTATGCCTTGTAAATATGTTCTTGTAGACCCCCCCTCCAAGTTAATCCATTAGGGAATTAAGTCGCATCACTAGCATCCACTTAGCATGGGTAAAGGATCCTAAGGTGCTGTAACTGCTGTTGAGCCCCCAGGCAAAAATATCTGATTTCCATGCTTGATATCCAACAAATTTAGAACGAAGGGAAAGGCCCAAGAATAAATGATGACTGCTGTTGTCTACCTTGTTCCCCTCTTTTCTCTAAACTAATTAACTTTATGCTTTGCCTTTTGTAAATTGCAATGAGCTCACTTCTACTGGGTTGGATTTGTCTTGTTCTTGGGGGCTATGGGATAAACACTTAAGGAACAGTGCACCATCTTGCCTTTCTCTTCAAATGGTTCCAGGGGAACAGCCCCAACAGAATCTTATGGATCAGTCCTACTATTTATATGGTGGATCATCCATATCACCAAATGTGACCTCTTTTCTTTTCATGCATTGTGGGTGGCTCCACCCCTCCCCAAGCAGAAAAAATATTGAAGCCAAGCTATTTCCATTCTTTTCATTACAATGGTTCACTCCAAAAGCATATTTCTTCAATTCATGTTCTGGTATTAACCAACTGAAGCACGTGTGCTTGGGGGATGTTGTGGGAGCCCATCCTCCACACCCCATCTATATAAGAAACCTACTCTTACTAAGACTCCCAGACACTGATCCCCACTACTTTATCCAACAGTTTTGCTTCTTGGTTTGGTAATTCAACAACATATTCATCAAAAGTTTCACATCATGGGACAACCTCCTCTCTTTCATATATAATATAGACCACTCAGAAATTTAGGCTTTTCTGCAGGCAATGAGCTTTAAACTTTTTACAGCTTGTATTGAATTAATCTCCACTTGGTGCTAATTATGAGAATGAAATACAACTTGTGTTTTACCTACAATTCATACTAACAAATTATTAAAGTACTAAACAGATGGAACTTAATATCTGCAACTAGAATTAAATCAGTAACAATTCTTACATCCAATTCACAATTTCACATTCAATCTTCCTAGATCATTTCTCCATGTAAGCGCCAAACCAAGAATCTTACCCTCCGTAACTTCAGCATTCAAGGTTTTATTCAAAGAATGTTTGGGAGAAGTGCATGCTCTACACGTGCAAATATGCAGAGAAGAAAGTAGAAGAAAACAAGAAATGCTCAGTGCTAGCTTTGGTTTTGCTCAAAGATATCCCACAAAATGCTGATCAGCTGATATTGCATGATGATAGCAATATATTCTCCAAATATTACTGCAAAAATTTTACCTGCCACTGTTTTACAATACACTATGGTGTCTGAAAAGTTGGAGACCGAGTGATACTTTGTCCTTTTGCCTGCAAATATAACAGCAATGTCATTTTTTTTCTTTGCAATTTGGTAATAAAGGATTTCGTTTCCTTCTTCCCCTAAGACCAAATTATCCTTGTCCTGTCTCACAAGTCACAACTCCAAAACCAATTACCCTTTTTCATATACCAGTACATTTGAAGCATTCAATCTCTCTCTGACGAATGAAAATACTACCTGAAAATATTATTTATTTTTTGTATTCAACTACATTTTTTTTCCTTAGTAAAGACAACCAATTTTTAAAACCGTATGAAAGGTTAACACAACTTCACATTCTACATTGTTGCAGGCTTTGCAGCATGAAAGCCAGATGGCATTAAACTACTCTGAAGTAACTTTGTTTATATGTTCAATTACCGCAAAAAATAATACAGTTTGTTAGTATTCAGATTGATGCTATAGTATATAATTTCAATAATGTTAATTAACATGAAAAATATGAAAAAAATAAAATGAACTGTCTTGCCAATTCCCTATGTATGATTACATCAAGACAAACCTATAATCTGATGGCTGTGGCCTATTGGGAATGTTCACATGCAAAGAAGTAAAAAGTAAAAAAAACCCACCATTAATGATGTGAAGGACACCAACATGCCTCCTCGGTTTGGGACTCCATGGCGCTGGGCCACTAGCCCTGGTATAAGAGTGTCAACAAATCATAGCTTAGCAAAGAAGTAATTAAACTGCAAAAATGGAGGGTCTAACTCTAACCTCTCTTTAGTGTGAGAGACTTTTTCTTTTATGTCTATTTTTAGGGTTTGGCCACTTTGTTTTCCCAAATAAAGTCCGTTTTTGACCAAAAAGACTCTGTCCAATTCTTCTTATTGGCAGCAACGATAGTACATTGCTGTTAGCCTGTTACCCTGTGAATCACAATAAATGTAACGTCTGTCATTAGGTTTCCGGTAACTGAAAACTGAAAAAATTAAAAAAAAAAAAAGGATACCATCCATGCATTTATGTAGTATAATTCTAGGTTTGTTTACATTTTTATGGGTAAAGGTTACGGACGACATTCCTCACAAAGTAAATATGCTCATGCTTGTGACTGGTTTAATTGAGGTTTGGTTTTGAACTTGCCCAAGATTTTAGAAGTTATTTCACTGATCTGACAAAATCCAACGGTTTAAACCTAGTCTTGTATTTTCACGCACTGCAATACTCGCAGACTATAGTCTTCACCTCTCTTTTATCAGTATATTTCTACATTTCAATAGGCCATGACTCATTGACTCGTGATAGAAGCTGCCGACATATATATAGTATATGGTGACAACTGAGTAGGCAAAACGCGTAAACTCTAAATAGATTTTATAGAACATTATTCTCAACAGATTTTTGGTTGGGGAGTTTGGTTGATAGGTCTGAAAACAAGTTAAATCCAAGAGAAAAAAAAAAAAGAAAAGGGGGACTGATCTTTGATAGAGACGGAGGGCTAAGTTATTTACTAGTGTTTGACATGGTCTGTTGTGTCAAGCTCTCGATTTCTGGTTGAAAAGAAAGGTGTGAGACCTGCACAACCCCAAGCTTACACACATCACATTATGAAGTCTTTCTTGTCGATATAGAGAGGGACAGCCTAAGAACCCTCGTACCCATCAGAGATGGAAAAGAGAGAGAAAAGAAAGGAAAATGAGAGAGGAAGCTTACTTACAAACGTGTGAACGTTGTTGGATTTATTGAAAAGTAAAGGATGAAACAAATAGCAATTTAAATTAAATTAAGGGGGGGTCAGGGTCAGCGAGGGTGATTAACTACTTCAAGCACTCATTTTAGTCCCTTTCTTTGTAGGAGTCGAGAAGGGGAACCCTAACCGTGTAGGTTTCTCTTACACACCCTATAGATGTGCTTTTGCTGTTTCAAGTTTTAATCTTTCCCAGCCAAGCATAACTTTAGTTTTCTATTCTTCACTCATCCCCTCTTCTTAGTTTTCCTTTTTTCTCAATATTATTTTAAAATTATCTGCCCATGAAGATGGAGATGACTTTGTAACAGTTGTATAACAGCATTTGTCAGAAAAGGAAGTGAAGACATGGCTAACAAGTGTGTTATATATGCACCAGACACCATGAATAGAGTCAGCCGTCACTCTTCCAGTGCTCCCTCTTCTTCCTCTTCTTCTCCTGGTTCCTTAATGGGGATGGTTTACCCAGACATGGGTTCTCTTTCTCTTGGTCCGAACTATGGTATTGTAGGCTCTAGTGGTTCTTCCTCACAGGATAATTATGCTTGCAGGGGCTCAGAGATGGAAAATGAAAGAGCTTCTTGGGGTTTTCATTTCATGGAAAACTACAAAACCAGGAGCTTTGAGGAAAACCACGGCTCTGATGTTGTGGAGGGTAAGGGCTCTGATTGCAGTGATGAGTTTGGAGATAATAGTAGGATAATTAATCTCATTGCCAACTTAAATGAGGAGAACCCCAATGAGAATGCGGTAAGTGGCCAGGAAACAGATAGTGGGCAGTCAAAACTTTGTGCCAGAGGCCACTGGAGGCCTGCTGAAGATACTAGGCTCAGGGAACTTGTAGCTCTTTATGGCCCTCAGAACTGGAACCTTATAGCAGAGAAGTTGGATGGAAGATCAGGTAAGATAGTGGCCAAAAAGAGTGGCAAAAGCGGTATTATTTTATTCTTTATTTCATTAAAACTTTTCCCTCTTTCCTTTTTGTTGTTCCATCCCTTTTCGGGCATCTTATGTAATATTAGAATCATTGTGCTTATAAGCTAAGGTTCATTTATTCTGATTCTTGTCTCTTGGTTTTGAAGGTAAGAGCTGCCGGCTAAGATGGTTTAATCAGTTGGACCCTAGGATCAATAGAAGAGCTTTTACTGAAGAAGAAGAAGAGAGGCTAATGCAAGTTCATAGACTTTACGGTAACAAGTGGGCAATGATAGCGAGGTTGTTCCCTGGAAGAACTGATAATGCCGTCAAGAACCATTGGCATGTTATTATGGCTAGGAATTATAGAGAACAATCGACTGCCTATAGGAGGCGGAAGCTGAGTCAATCTGTTTATGTAAGGATGGAAGAAACTCCGAACTTAGTCTGCAGAGATGCAGCCACAAAAGCAGCAGCACCCCCATACTGTCTCAATATCCCCAATAGAAGACTTGGCATTATCTCCCAGTATCACTTTGGAACATTCAACGGTGCTGATGTTGGGGTTAATGGAGGCTCAAATGTTTCACCCCACATGACCAGTAGGAAAGAAGCAATCTCAAGCAGCGAGGTCCCTCACAATGGGTTTTGTGCACAACAGGCACCTTTTGATTTTTTCCCTGGTGTGTGTCTCCTTTGTAGTCCCTCCCTACTCTTACCCCTCCAACAGGCACCTTTTTATCTCTCCAAGCTTTCTTTATGTTTTATGCAGTTTTGTGTATTTGGGTTTCTGTGCAGTTTCTCATTGGTTTCCATTTTGGAAACCCACCTCGAATTTCTTGCTCGCTTTTCTTTCTTTGACTGCTGAACCAAATTTGATGATTTTTGTGTTCATTTATTCTATTGCTTCTAGACATTGACTGATGTAACCGTTTCCTTTAAATCCAAGCCAATACACTCCTACCTTTCTTTTTTATACGTTTTTACCAGTCATCCACGTTTTATCTTTGGCAATTTTGATAGTTTCTTTACTTCTTTGTGACTGGCCGTATTTAACACTTGCAACAGGTTTTAATAGCAATGACATGATGGGCATGTTCAGCCACACCAGATCTTGGCATATGCCCATTGATGAACCCCAAATCTCTGGTTTCTATCCCCAGCAGCAGCAGCGGCACCCTTCATACAAGATGGCAATGCTACAGTCAGAGTTCCCCAGCTTCCCTAGCTCCCAAAGTCTCACAGATTCCACAGCAGCGACACCTCAAGTTTCAGTCAGTGAAGATTCATCAGCAGTGGCAGGGAGCAGAGCGGCAGCCAGCAGCCACAACAACTATGAGACCGTTCCACCACCATTCATTGACTTTCTTGGAGTAGGAGCCACATGAAGTTACTCAAAAAGCATAAACAAAAAGCCTGAAAATGGTTTTCCACCTTAATGTGGAAGTGCTCCAAGGTAACTGAGAGGCCATTAGAGGTAAAAGAGAAATGGCTTTGTATTTCAGATGGGTGACAGTAGGTAATCTCTGCATCAGTCTGTCCAAGTCATATCCCCCAGCATCTTTTTCTTGTTAACCCCTCCCCCTTTTCTCTCCTGAATCCAGAGACTTTTTCCAAAAGTTGAAACAAAATATTTAATAAATTATAATTATTGTCACAAATCAGACAATTTATATATTGTTAAATATCTACGTGAACAAAGTTCAAGTTAAAGACAATAATTAGTCTGAATGGAATTATGGAAGTGAAAAGCAATGAGGAAAAGACGCAGAAATCAGACAGATGAAAACATCAGACAAGGACACAGTGATCGAACAAATGTATATGATCCAAATATTGAGTCATGTTTTACATTTAATAAATCAATTCATCAGTGGTTCCTTCCTCAATTTCAGGTTTGCTTGATTTGTTTGTGGACAAAATCATAAAAAAAAGGTATGAGAAAAATAGTACTTTGTTGGTTATAGAGAATCATGTATCATGTAACTAGTAAGGGGCATGAATACGATGGTGAAAAGCAAAACATATGATGATAAGCGCAAAGAAAGACAAAAAAAGAAACTGAAACTTGAAATAAAGACATCCTTCTCTCATGGGCCTGCAAAATTTAGGCACAAATTATGCAACAGAACAGCCTCCACAATCTTTTCTCCATTGCATTCATGAGTCATGACAGAAACTGTTGAACAGGGAAGGCAACGGGTCGGGGTCGAACTCGATTTTATTATAACAATACTCAAATTCAATTCAACTTGATTTTTTAAAATTATTTTATATTTAAATCTGACTGGATTTAATATTATATAAAATTATATTTAATTTAATTCGAAATTAATAAAATATTATTTTTATTAAATATATAAATATAAAATTAAATAAATAATTAAAAATAATATTTTATAAATATATATCTGGTTAGGATGGATTTACTTAAAACTCCACTTTGAAATTTTTTTATTCTTAATCGATCCGACTCTGTCGAAATTTGATTAAAAAAAAAACAATTCTAAGCAATCAGGTCAGAGTTGAAAACCCATCGATTATGGGTAAATTTATCATCCCTACTGTTGAACATCCTTCCTTTCCATCATAAGATGTTTTAGAACTGTCTTTGATTTCCTTAAATACTTAAAGGCTAAAATAATACAAAATTTATAAATTTTATTGCTTTATCAGATAAGTTAATATATTTTTATTATATTTAAATTAGTTTTTCATTTTTTACTTTGAGTTCAAATAATACTTAAATTTTAATTTATATCAAGATAAGTCATTATCTTTTAATTCGTACCTACATAAATTTTTAACATAAATAAATTTGTATTTGAAATAAGAAAATACTTAGATACAAATAAAAAAATTATTTTTTTATAATACAAATATATAGACTTATCTAAATAAAGTGATAAAATTCAAGGGTTCTTTTATTAGCCAAAACTTAATTGCTTGCTTCAATTGTTATTAAAAAAAAATGGTATTACCTAAAATTCTTTTTATTATAATGCTATAATTGTTCAATTACAATAAAAATTATACACGAGTCCCATCACTTATAAATATTGGATCTATATAAAATTATGATGAATTTTACATAATTTTAAATTATAATTAATTGATTAATTATAGTTGAAAAGTCCCCAAGATGATATACATTATTCATCTGCTAATGTAAGAAAACATGTTATAAGGCAAAGTAATGCATACATTTTCCAAAGTAAGTAAGGCTCAATCTCAATTGTATTTTGCTCAATTTTATCCTATAAAGATCATGCGTTCAAGACTAGCATTAACAAAAATTTACCAATAACCTACAATGATTGTAATATAATTAATCAATCATAATTCAAAATTATACGAGATTATTGAAGTTTTATATAAAACTCACATTTATAAGAGATGGATTCTTATATAATTTTTTATTGTAATTGGATAATTGTTATAGTATAGTGAAAAAAAATTATAAATGAAATGATTCCAAAATATTCGAACTCAAAATCATTTACATTGAAAAAAAATGAATTTATAAATTGAACCAATCTCTTATCTTGTTAATTCCTTACCTTTACTTTATAATTACTAGGATTTTTTTTTTTTTTATATTCTTGGTTGCCAGGGGGGAGAAACTAACTATAACTTGAGTTGCCATCACTCATCTTCCCATGTATCAACTAATGCAACTATAGGCACCTATTTTCTGATGTTCTCAGACTATATAGCAGAATCCATGATTTGCTGCTACTTTTATCCTAGCAACAAGAGCAGTAAGGTCTTCTAGAAGAAGAAATAAGATATTTATTTCAGCAGCAAAAGCTAGACAGCGCAGGTGATTTACTGAAGCACAAGAGAGAAAAAGTGATACAATTTTGTTACAGATTTAAAATTAGTTTACAAGTTCAATATATGAAAGTTGTACCATATCCAAGTATCTCTCTGTTTCAACTAACATTATCACAGCATTTATAAAAGGCAGCTAAATGAGCTAGTCAGGGATGCCTTTATTACTCTCTTACTAGATAACTGAATAGATGATTCCACTCCCAACCCTTTTTTAATTAACATGTCCCAGTCTTCCACTACATTGATTGATTCACCAACAGCTACTCCTTCAGGGAGGTTGGCTAGTAAGATGATAACATTGTGGTGAAGGTGGAAAAAATCTGTCAACTGCAAAGTGGTTGCATGATGTGAGATGACCACTAGATCAATTGCTGATATGGCATAGAGTATGCGGTTGCTAGTATTATCTCTCCATTCATGTGTTCTCTTGGAAGTTGAGTGATTGAGACAAGGCTGCAGGGTTGGCTCGCAACACCTAGAATGTTTCTAGTCTGTCATTTATGTAATCGCTGCTTTTCGCTTGAAAGCCATCAAATAGACCTTCCGAATTAATAGAATTGGTCCTCTTGCTTTTAATTAGAAGTGTTGCCAGCATAGAGCTTTTTCCAGCCTCACCAGGATCATCAATCCTCAAAGTTTTTGAATTCAAAGCTCTTCCTTCTGACTTGTTACTCTCCCCTGAAGGCTTTTCTTTCTCCAAGTTGGCTGGACTGAGATTGTTTTCATCCCTTGAATGTTTCCCCAGAGCTGGAGAAGTTGGGCTAGAGCACATTGGTTAACAGAAGAAGGTGATGGGGAGGCCACTGGAATATCCCAAGGGCTTGGTACACTGTAATGGCGATATGAATAATACTGGAATGCCTGGAAGGCAGAGAGTAGGCGGAGGTGGAAGCATTGCATTACTCCTCTGGATTGAGTCCCCTGGAAAAGGCAAAGAAGGCCTTTTGAAACACGGTACTTTAGAAGGAACCCATTGATAATTCTTACCCTGTGCTTGATTTAAACTAGCCTCGCCTTCCTTCTCTGGGGAATAAGACGAAGTAATCAGTGATTCACCCTAGTGGTTATCCTCGACAACAATTCTTTGCTTAGGTTTTTGAAACCCATTCTGAACATAAATCTGTGTTTTTCCTGAAATATTGAAGACTGAAGCTACAGGTATAGAAGAACCGGAGCCAAAAGTGAGGACACGGCTATTATTGTTTGGCGTATTCCATTTGCAGCACTTGCTTGAGCTGCTCGGATAGCTTCGGAAATCATAATCATAATATGATAGTAGTGCAGAGCAGAAGAGCTTTCGGTTTTTCGACGACCTGCACCAACTGCACGTTCCTCATGGTTCCCCCAGCAGTCCAGTTCTTTGACAGTTTATGCAAAAATGACGCGGCTGGTTCACATTGTAATTGTTGTAGTAGCAGAACTTGATTTCCTTGCTATTACATCGTGGACATGGAAGTATAACTTGATCTGTTATTGAGAGACCGGTTACATAGGTCGTTCCAGGGCAACCTGAAGTGTCAAGCAGGGAGGCTACTACAAGATCATAGTGGCTAAGCTTCGCTTCGACTAAGTATATGCCTCTGACAACAGAATAATCCATCTGATTGTTTGTTTCTTTCAATTGTAAAAAAGTCAGAGATGGCGGATCATTGAAACTGAATCCTCAAGTTGAGAAATATCGATCTCCACCACCAAAGCCTAATACTAATGGAGACTAGAGATGCAAAAGGGTGAGAGAGTTGAATCAAACCATTAACATTTATGACTTTCTAGCCAAAGGGTTGTTCTTGGAATTTGCCAATATCCTAAGCAGCTAAGCCATTAAGAATTGCAGGAAAGCAAAATACAGAACAGAGTCAACAGCTTTCTCAAGTCCCTGAATATAAAAACATTGAAAGAAAAATATTAAAGCCAACCTATCAATGATTTCCAGGTTGTGAAAAATAGCATGTAGTTTGTACTTAAGAAGCTTGCAAATAGCACATATCCCCAGTTTAAATAGAAAAATTAAGAAAAAAATATAACTCAAACTCAGTCAAACACATATACCCGTTCCTCCCTGGTAGCCTGAGCTTGATACTCATCATTAGAGTTCACTCCACCTAAGGAATCAGACGAAGAAAGAAGATTTCCATCACAACAATCCTCCCTAGAATCTCTTCTAAAGGATAACCCATGATCAGTCAAAGCTTCCCCCTCCTGGTTCAATGTCAGCAATGGAATCGTCTTCTAAAAATTTAGAGCCACAAGTTTTGTGGGCTTTAAGATATTTTCATTCTGTTACATTGCTCCATTGCAGAAAAAGATGTTGCTTTGTTGCCCTGTCCATTTTCCTCCGCCATGTCAGCTGCACTTAGTTTCTTCCTTTACGAGTACTCGTCCTTCACCTCTCTACTCACATTTATTAAATCAATAAATTAAGAATAGAGTTCCATAAAAGAAATTAATAATATATAAAAATATTAAAAATAATATTTATAATTTAAATTTAATTAATAATTATTTAAGGATAAAATTGTGTTAAAATTTTTAATAAAAATATTTATCTAAAAATATAACAAAATTTTCATGAATTATGAGATTAGAAGATTGTTACATATCTTATACATTAAAGTACGTTTAAATAATTAATAAATTAATATGATAAAAAATGTGTGATAATATTTTACTTCAAAGTCTAAAATTTTCACCATCAATCTAAAATATAATATTTTAACTTTTAAAATAGTTGATGTTTTATCATAAGGAAAGATGATTAAAGTT